TAATAATAATAATAATAATAATAATAATAATAATAATAATAATAATAATAATAATAATAATAATAATAATAATAGTGATTATAAAAAAATAGCCGAAATCACAAAAATTGTTCCTAATTGGTACTAAAACAAGCGAAGGAAAGATTAAAATAAAACACCATAATAACGACAAAAATCATAACAATATTAATACTAACATATAATTAATTAACATTATTTTTACTAAATATTACTTAGATAGCAATATTATTGTTCATTACGTGACTCCAACTTCAAACCCAGCAGTTCGCCTACGATGACTTTCAATGACTCTGGATATAGCAATCGGCGGACTCAACAAAGTTCTTTTAGGAGTTGATGACACTGACTCATTATCATCATTATTATTAACCGTCTCAAAGGATCTTGTACTGCTCCGTGATGATGACCTCGACGGTGGCCCATCGTAATTCTGGTGGTGATACAAATTATTACTATTGACTTCCACTCCTATTTCGTATTGATCATACGGTATATTTATACTGCTTCGACCACTCGCGATCCCACTTCGATTACTATGTAGTAGTGACAGCTCGTTATTATTATTACTGTTAACGTTGGAAACTGAACTGCTGTTGTTGTTTGCCGATATTGTACAATTATGCGGAACAAATTTTCGATAATGATTGGACGATGTCGAAATTAGAAAAATTATGAAATGTTTCAGATTTGGTAGTGTGTTACGAAGATCCACGCGTAACAGTCCTTGTGAATTCATCAACTAATAACATTTAAAATTCAAAAATTATTGATTTATTCTATATTTTCTTCTTGAAAAAACAAGCATTTTTTTAAACCTGCTCAATATTCTTGTTTAGCAGAAATACAGCGTACTCAAACCGACCACGGTCAACTCCTTTCATGTATAAAGGAAATCTAATTATAATAGTATATATTTGATTTAGTAAAGAAAAAGTAAAACAAAGCAAAATACCAAAAAAAATCATAATAAAAGGAAAAGATAGAATAATTACAGGGCTCCAAGTTGATTGTTGTTGGTCACGTAACGCAATCCTCCTTCCCCCAAGAAAAATCCCACCAAAATCAAGTTTAACAAACCCAAGAATGGTATATACGCCACAGATGGCGGTATAAATTCCCTGTGTGTATGACATATGCGTAGTTACATTTTGAATATATTATTTTATCGTCAGAACTCCAGTTTTTCCTTTCCTTTCCTTTCCCTTCCCAATCTAAACTATTTATTCTATAATCATTTTTTGATTTTTTTTGAATAATTTACAGAGCAAACAAATAAACTGACTGAGACGCGTCAAACAACCAACTTGGAGCAAGCAAACGCCCACACACTTACTGTCGCGGTGCTGGTATTGAAGCCGATATTGGATCGTTAATTATCGATCTCGATGACATTGGTGTCATGGGAAACCTTAACGGTATTGCAAGGTAAAATGCAAGCATCTGGGTTAGATGACATGTAAATCCGAGCGCCGTTGCTATTTGCTCGTCATTGCCTAATTAATATTAACAATATAATCATTATCAACCTCATTAAGATATATACTAAAGAAAAAGAGAGTAATGTTTACCATGATTGAATACAGAATTGGGTAATGGCAGACCGAGAATCTTAAAAGAAAGCGCATCGTTGTCTATCTAGAAAACTCAAAATTATGAGAATATTAACAATAACCCCAATCTTCCCGACTTCCACTTATATGACTAATATTTAATACTATTATTAATATATAAGTATTACCACCAAAAAAACTCACCGGCTCAATGGGAAAGATGGTAAGCAAGTCCGCAATCAATTCCCGTTGACGAGCAAACAAGCGGGAAGAGGTGACGGACAGAGCCTCGCTAAGAACATGCACCCCGTTCAATACGACCTTCTGAAAAAATAAACAACAAAATTTCAAAAACTAACCGCAGAAGAGCTAACAAACAAACCGATCTCGTTCCAATTTTCTTTGGCTTTCCTCCAAATATTCATATCCTGTTTGGCATCGTTTCCTTGCGTCCTCGAGTGCCGCACGGCGAGAACGGAAGTTTTCACGTAGTGTGGTTAGACGGTGTTGTTCTTTTTTGTGTAATGTATAATGATGCAGAGATTTATATTTTTGTGTGGGTAGTAATATCAAATTAGCTTTTGAAGGGACTTGTGATTATGACCTATGAAAAATTAATTAATTGATACAAGACACCTTCTTCGAGTTTTTTTCGTTGTTTAGCGATATCATCTTCGTATCGATTCAATCTCAACGATTCTGAATTTTTTTCTCTTTCCTTATTTGAAATTAAAAAATTCACATTATTAATTTATATACTATCAAAATTAAACAAATTTATTATAAAAAGTACAGCAAAATAATCACCAAAAGAAGTTTATTATTCTCCCGTTCAAGTATACCCTCAATATTAGCCATGACATTATCACGCGACCTTCTCATATCGATTAAACAGTTTTCTATATTGTTTAATCTTTAGTATGTTTAGAAAGCCGCCGAGAAACACACATATATTATCGCACACACAACAAATTTGACGACACGTTGTCAACAAAACATTTATATTTAACAGATAGGATAATAGTGAACTTTATATAGAATGATGTAAGAGGTGGAAAAGAAAACTCACCGCATGAGGGAGTCGTATGTATATGAGCGCTCTCCCTATTTCGATAACAATATATAATTCAATATTATGTATAATAATGAACAGATGAATTGAGAATTCTTGATTGAATACTAAAAGACGAGGTTAAATAAACCTTTGGCGATTTAGCCCCGAGCCCCGGGGATTCTCCCATTGTTAGTTATTATACTTTCGATTTTATTCCTGTACTCCTATTAATGTTATTAATGATAAAAATCAGAAACTTTCAAACTGACGAAAGACGTCAACAACCAAGTTGGTTATTTAGTTATTTATAACAAACGATCGGCGAATACTTCATTATTGGCACACGTGCATGACCGAAATAGTTTATTTATATATGTGAATAATACCCGATATCTATTTTGCGTCAAAACTGATTTTTGCTCTATATATTAACAATAAATACTTTTAATAATTTATTTTATTTCTTTCCACCAACAGTATTAGCCTTCGCCCATAACGACACAGGGTATAAAATACGACGAGAAGAAATAACCAACGCGTTTTTTTGATTGAATTTTTCTCTGAGTGTTTCTTGGATTTTAGGGGCCTAAGTTTTTAGATCAAAATCAAAATCAAAATTTAAAAAACAATGGTGGAAAGAATAGAAATAGAAATAGAACAGAACCTACCACTTCAGCCAAATAACGATCAATACTATCCCTATTATCAACTTCAAAGAATACTGTGATATATCGATGTACACGATCCGGATGTTTTATGGATATGTCTCCTTCGTCGCTTCCTGGTTGTCGCTCGAAAACCTTGAAATTAATTTTCAAATATACATTGATTTCATATACTTTTGTCAGTACCTTTTTTTATTCTTAATAATTAAAGATCCAAACTTTATTTAACCACCCAAAAAAAATTCGCATTAAAATACCTCTGCATCTCGAAACCCGGGATTATCATTTATCGTTTGACGCAAATGATCCTGTAGCCAGTTTGAAAAATCATCAAATATCTCTTTTATTTGAGATTTATTGTAATCGAAGTGATTTTTATCGATAAAAAATCAATCAATGATTTAATATAAACAAGAACCCACTAAAAAGAAAATAATTTTTACCAAGGTCAACTAAAAAGAAAATAAATTTTTACCAAGGTCAACAGTGAAATTTGCTTCATAAATAATTGGAAGAAAATCTGCTTCGTTGTGAAAAACTTTGGTTGTTCCGGCCTTTTATTTTGGAAAATTCATTAATAAAAATATCCATATTGTTTCTCATTTATTAATCGAGATAAATTCTCGACCTTTTATATAAAAAACAAAAAATTCAAACCTGAGACATGTTTCTCGTACAATAAGAAAAAAAGAATAAAAAAATTGTGACTTCGATTGAACGATAATATTAATGAGGGAATTTGTTGGGTTAACGTTAAAAGATGATCCAATTATCATTGTCCCTTTTCGATTATAAATAGAAATTCACACAATGACACTGCATACTCCCCCTGTAGGAATTTAAACTTTAATTTAGTCCGATTTCTTTTGTTTTTCTGCCAAATAAATAAATTCTAGATTCACAATGCAGTTTCTTCAAGTTTCTTATTACTAAGAAGAATGAGCTTTGAGATTAAATTAAGTGACAAAGTTTTTACAGAGAAGGTGTGCAGTGCTGAATGTTGTAAAGATCACGTGATAATTTTTATACAACAATTAAATAAAAAAGATGTCTATTGTAATAGATTCTTAATTAATTGTGATATCATTTTTAGTTTATATTTTTTTTATATTTATAATATTATATATTTATTTTTATTAACTTAATTAATATTTTTTTCTGATATAATTAAATAAAAAAATTAATTTCTTTTATAATAGAAATTTTCATATTCAAATAAACATGATTTTTTAATATAATATATATTTAATTAAAAAAATTCTTTGAAAAATCATATTTTCATTTTTAATTGAAAACATCTTAAAAAAATTCATTTTTAACTTTTTGATTACTAATTTTGTTTTCAGAAATACTGTATAATAACTAACAAAATTATGAAATTATGTATGCAATTTTATTAATAAAATATAAGTGTGACATATATTATATAATTATCAGAGAAAGAAAGGAGAAATCTCAAAAATCTCATTTTTTATGTGATAAAAAATAGTTAATCAATTAAATATAATAAAAATCTTACTTGAAAGAGAGAAAGATTATCTCTATAATAACTTAATATTATATAATATATGTTAATTTTCTAATAAAAATTGAAATTTTTGTTTTATATAAAATTTTTTAATTTTATTAATAAATATATATAAAGTCAATGCTTTTTTCTAATTAAAATTATTAATTTATATATAATTGAAATAGCTTTGTTAAATTAAATTTTTATTTTGATATAAAAATAAAAAATATTAATTAGTAAAATTAAAAACTTTTATATAAAGCAAAAATCTATATTTTTTGTATTTTTACTATTTATTAATAAAATTTTTTGCTATTGTATTTTTTATTGATATTATATAGTTAAATTTCTATAATTATATATTCAATTTTTTTATAATACTTATAATAAAATATTTTTATTATAATTAATTCTTGAAAAAAAATGATTTTATATAATTATAAAAAAATTTGATTGTATTTGTTTAATAATAATCAAATTTTTTTATAATTATTATTTTAAAAAAAACAAAATTGAATAAAATTAAATCTCTCTATAGTTATTATTCTTGAAAAAGCAAAATTGATTAACTATAAAAAAATATAATTATAAAGAAGTTTTTTTTATTATATTTATATATAAATAAAAAAGCAAAATATGATAATTATAAAAAAATTTAATTATAAAAAAATTTAATTATAATTATAAAAATATTTTTTTACATTTATAAAAAAGTAAAAAAAATAATTATAAAGAAATATAATAATATTAAATATAATTATAAAAGAATTTAATTGTATTTAATTTAATTTTTTTAATTATATTTACTAATTATAAAAGCAAATTAAAAAAACTAATTTAAAATGTAATAATATTTTTCTCTTTTTAAAAATTAATATTTTAAATATAATATATAAATAATTATTTTTTTTATTATTTTTTTTATTAATTTTGTTAAACTTAAACAAAATTAAATATATTTTTTAGTCAAAATATATTAATATTTGTATTATTTGTAAAAAATTTTTCTAATTACAATTTTAACTTTATTAAATTATTATTTTTTATTTTATATATATAAAGAAATTTTAATTTTTAATAAATTTAAAAATTATTTAAATATTTTTTAGAATAATATTTTTTTTCTAATTTTTCAAAATTAAATAACTTTGTAAAAATATTTCTAAAATACAATAACAATCAAAAATAATACAATGTTATCAAAATTTATTAATTAAATATGAGTTTTTTTTATATAAAAATAGCACTATAATTAGATTAGATCCAATTTATAATCTAATTCAAAATGCACATTTCAAATTAAGTTAAATTGGAATCAAACTTGATTTGAAATATTATAGATCAATTTAAAAATATTATTTTTTATTTAATATTAATTGAAATTAAATAAAAATTTGTGAATATATATATAATTATATTCTGAATAACTTTACTTAGACAAAATATAAGTATTTTAGTAAAAATAAAAGTTATTAATAAAAAATTATTTTATAATTTTCAGATCAAATTTGATTCAATTCAAAATTATTAGTTCAAGTTGATCTTAAACCTAATCTAATTTGATCCAAATAGAGTTTTATATAAAAATTTTCAATTTTTTATTAATCAATATTTTTTATTTTTTATTAAAATGAAGATAATATTATATATTTTAACATATATTTTTTTCAGATTTTTTAATTTAATCAAGTTATTCTAATTATATATAAAGTTAATTATTTTTTATATTGCTACTGTTTCTAGTTTTTATATATAAGAATATTTAGAAATAGCTAACAATAACTATATTTATGATAGATTTTAAATAAGAATATATAGTCAAATCTCTTTATAGTCACACTTATTTATAGTCATACCTTTCTATAGTCACTTTATTTTGTTTTTTCATTTATATATAAATATAGTAAAAAAATTTCTTTATAGTTACATCTTCTTTATAATTATCAAACTTTGTTTTTATGTGAGTGGTAACTATAAAGAAATTTGACTATAATTAATAATAGTGAATAATTAATAATACTAAATTAATGAAAATATATATATAAAGTAAATATTGAATATAATAAAATAATATTAAAAATAAATATACAATATAAATTAAAGTTAAAAATATATTTATAAAAAACAAAAATAATATAATGATAATTAAAAATAGATTAAAACAAAACAAAGATAAACAAAAAGACAAATAAAAGAAAAACAATAGAAAAATAATAAAAAACAAGAAGATAAAACAAATAAAACAAAAATTAAAGTAAATTAAAAAAACAAGACAAGATAAACGTTAAATTAAGATATAATTTTATTTCAAATCAATTTTATATTTTATATATAGTGAATTTAAATTATGCTAATCTACATATTATTTACATATATAAATTTATAATATGTTAAAATATAATAACTATTATATAATATTCAAAAGAGATTTATGTAAAATCTAATTAAATTAATATAATAAAAGATAAAAATAAAATACTAGTAAGAATTAAAATATAAATTAATATGAAATTATTATAAATTAATTGGTTAAATAAATGATAATGAAATTTAGATTAAAATAATGTAATAAAAATGAAAAATAATTGAATAAAAATATAAGTTATTGCTATTGAATAATAATAAAAGAAAATTATAAATATAATAAAGAAAATAGTAAAAAGAATATTACTGTACTTTTGATAATAAATGCATATTAAAAATAATGAAAGATAAAATAATAACAATGTGTTTTAATTATAAAAAAATAATTGATTTTATATAAAATTAGAATAATTTAATTAAATTAAATCTAAAAAATCTGAAAAAATATATGTTAAACTTTTATATAAAAAGAAAAATTTATATTTTTACTATGTTTAATTAATAAATTTTGATATTATTACATTATTTTTGATTGTCACTATATATATAAATTATTTAGTTTGAAATTTAAATAATATACACTTCTACAATAAATTACTGGAAATTCAAATAAAAATCTGTATTTTACATATATTTTTTTATAGATTTTTTAAATTTAATTTCAAAAATATTTTTGGTTGTAAAATTGGTTGTACAGACTTTTAATAATTAAAATTTAGTAAATTTGAATTTAATAATAAAAAATTTGTATAACAAAATTTACAATCAGAAATATTCTTAAAATTAAATTTAAAAATCTATAAAAAATTTATGTTAAAATACCTATTCTTAGCTTTATTTTGAGATAAAAAAATATTTACTAATAGAAATAAAAATTTCATTAGAGAAAATTTCAATTTTTTGATTTTTTTTGGATTTCCAGTAGGAATGTGTATAGACAAATGGTTGTACTACATGTATCTAGTGATCTGTTATCGCCGACCACACCATATCGATATAATCCATATACCAAAATTTCCAAGTTCCAGACATACACAAAATGAATGCATTACCACCTCTCCCAAACGAACTGCGATTTATTAATTCGTATCTTCAAAAAGGGCAAGAATTGCAAACAAGGGAGCCTGTTATTGCTTATTATTGTATGTATTATTTTGGGTGTCTCTTTGGTTTTGAAGTGGCCTCTCTAGACCAAGAGTTTTTTGAATGAGAAGCGCTTTATGTTGAGTATACTTGTCAATTTATAATAGGTAATTATTACGCGGCCAAACTTGCAATTAGCAAAGGATCGAAAACTAAAGAGAGCAAAGTATTTCTTGCGACGTTGTTGGATGTACTTGAGGCAGTATGTTTTCAATTTTCGTGCATCAAACGTTTCAATATCGAAATTGTCTTTTCTAACGTTACCCTCCTTTCAATTAAAAAAGGAAAAGAAGGGTCTTAATGAACACGAAGCAATCAGCAACGACATGGCGGGATCAGCATACGTGGAAAATTTTGGACTAAAAATTTTCTTGAATGCTGATAACGAAGATCGTGCTGGAAAAGCTACAAAGTAAATTTATCATTTTTTTTACGTATATCTATATATCGGAGTAAAATTTTAGAATTTGAAATTGATCTAATAATATTATTACCATCATGATAGGAAAACAGCCAAAAATTTTCTGGTCGCTTCGATGTTTCTAGAATTATTAAAGATTTTCGGAGAAATCGAGACTGAGGTACTTTAATTAACTAATGTGCACATTATATATTATGATTCAATATATTGTTTCTGACTCCCGATCATAACAATAATAAAAACCAACAGATTGAAGAAAAAATCAAATACGCAAAGTGGAAAGCTGCCAATATAGTCAAAGCAATAAATAGTGGACAAACACCAGTTCCCGGTCCACCAGGCGGTGAACCAGAACAAACAATATTAGGTGGTGGTGGTGATCAAATACAAAACGAAACGCCTAACTTTGATCAATTTCCCTCTGCTCCATTATCTTCATCTACAGTTTTACCTGTTATTTCTTCACCCACTACACTCGATAATAATACCAATAATGCTAATAATGTCCCAGATCCTTGGTCAATATTTCCTTCACCACCTACTCAAGAGAGTAACATCATCAACAATATTAATAATCATCAACAGCCACCAGTTAGCACGCAGCATTTTGATGCTACTTCGGCGACAATACATAATAATCATGGTCAACCTACAAATACAGACCCCGAACGGATTCGGGCACCACCACTTCCTCCCAAAGTCAATGATTACTATGGTGCACCAAATGAATATACAACATCCACAAATATTACTAATTCTTACGATACTAATGAACCAGATCAACAACAGCATTTTCAAAATTCACAGTTTAACTTGAATTATCCGCCTTTTACATCATCATCACCAAATTTATATTATGATCCTAACCAACAAAATCATCAGCAACAGCAACCGTCACCATCACCATCAGCAGGATTACCATCAAATAATCCATCCTTTCAAAACTCCAATACAAATTTCTATCAACAACCAACTGTTCCTCTCCATCCTCATCCTGCACCACCACCACCCTCTGCTTCTCATCATCAGAATATTTCTTCGCATGTCGCGGTTGCACCACCTTCTCAACAACAGCTCACACAAATTCCTTTAGAGATTGACGCAGACACTATTGCAATTGTTCAGAAACATTCAAAATGGGCGATCAGCGCACTCAATTATAATGACATAAAGACTGCTATAGAAAATTTACAAAAGGCTGTTGTGCTATTGGAACCTTATAATAAGTGAATTTATATGAATGGAAAATAAAAGATATCAAAGATGTATTTGGTTCTTTAAAATCTCAGAGATGGACATTTTATCATAAAACCTGTTATTTATATTATTGGTTGTATTAAGTTTACCATTTTGGCATTGCGTAAAACGCTGCCCAAGATTTAACATGTAGAATCTCTAAGCAAAGAAAAACATCATTCGTGTGTTAAATAACATAACATGTATTTAAATTAAAGAGACAAGGAAATAACCAACTCTTTGGATTCTTTACTAATGGTTTCAATATCACGATATGAATTAATATTTGATAAAGTAGCATTCAATTGACCCCAACACTTTTCCAGAAACTCTATATATCGTCCCCATTGTATAACAAAATTGTCTTTGAAGCAGGCAAATCTTGGTCGCTTTTTGCCATGCGTGTTCTCAAAAGTTTGATTTTGTTCATCTTACAGCGGAAGAATCAACTTGGACCAAATGAATCAAACAAAGAAATCAGGAGCGATTCTTGCTTTTATGATTATCGTAAATTCAACAATATTACCATTGATAATAAATAGCATAGCATAGCACTGGCAAAGGCACTATCAATCAGACAGAAAGTCTGGGTCGCGCGTCGTCATATGCACCGTCGCGTCAATTAGTTTTACAATGCAAGCAACAATAGTACATCGTGTCATAAGGAAGACGTGGTAGCATGACCAAGAGACAAACTCATTTAATAATTTAGTAAATATAAGTATCCTGGTAAGCTGTTATCCTAACCAATTCACATGCAATAGATTTTCAGTTATAACGATAAGATTTTAGTGAGGAATGCAAATGATATATTCACGTATTACGCCCAAAAGAATCATATGAAAATTTAATTAGCACTTGATATTCAGAATTTATAAGACTGCCTGTTTTTTATTTTTAATGTTATTCGTTATTAGAAAATACAACTCGCTCTCGTTCTAATATTCAAGAGTTCCGCTATATCGAGAGTTCTCTGTAACAAGAGTGACTTGTAGTCGTCCAAATCTGGTTTGTACCGGTTCTTTTGTCATTGTCACGCAATCAACCCCTTGTCACTTCAACAGTTTGTTTAAGTACAAGTTTTCAAGAAACAGTAGATAAATTCAAGTCGTTTCGCTGCAAGATATAAACTATTAATTTATAATGACTGACATGACGAATTCAAAACTCAAACCAACCACGACTGAGAGACCAGTTACTGCGCGTGGAAACCGCGCAAGGTCTCTTCCCACTTTACACACTATACCCAACAGCAACAATACTTCTACCACTAAAACCGCACAGTCTTCTCCTTCTTCTCCCAACTACCCATACCACTCCCCACACGCCGCATACCTTTCACCCGCCACATTTCCCGACCTCCCAGTCGATCCAAAACACTGGTCTTCTTCCGACGTCGCCACTTACCTTGCATACTGTCTTCGTTTATATCCACCAGCAATGGTACGCGACCTGACGAAATTTGTACGGGATGATACGTCACTTAATGGACGTCGTTTTCTTCGGCTTAAAGAAGAGCAGTTGCGGCATATGGGATTTAATGAACGTTGGATAAAGTTGATTATGTTGGGTGTGAAAGCGTTACGAAGAGAGAGTTTGACGCAGAAGATTCTTGCGAATGGTGGAATAATGGAAGAGCCAGAAGAATTGGTGGAAGAGGAAGGTATGTATATTTATTGACTTATTAAGTAGTTAAGTGTTAGTAATGCATGCGAAGACAAAATTAATTAACCAAAATATCCTAATGTTATAAAAGCATTTTCTGACGCAACAACTACGTTACCAACAAATGTTACTTCCACTTCGCCAAATCTTAATAGTGATGATAAAGAATTTTTCAATAGAGATAGTACTAGCATTGAATCAACTTCTATGCTATCGGCAAATGATAAAGAATTTATTCGACACCAACTTGCTAATCTCGAGGAATCCTTAAAAAAATCATTGTCATCATCGCCATCAACATTTATACAATGGCCTTCCAAATTGTCATTTTCCTCCTTCTCACGTATAATGTTACGTTCGCCAAAAGAAATTAATGAATCGAAAAGCAACTACCCTTACAGTTATGGTTTGATACAGGGATCAATAATTGGCGGAGGCTTGATGTGGATATGCATGAAACTCGCAGCTAAATATTCAATCGAGTAAATCCCGTTCATTTCTTGCATTCTCTTGGAATATTGTAAATTATCATTTCGTTTGTATATTTACTAATTCATTTTATTATGATGTATATATTTAATTTCACACACATCTCTATAATTAGCATTCAATTCATTATCATTCGATTATTCATTTATTCATTAGTTCGATCAATAAAAACATCACTCCTTAATTTGACTGCATTTATTGAATCTAATAAAATTCCAGGTAGTTCAAACCAATAAGAATACATAAATTGGTTGACCGAACACTGGGTCTTCTAGATTAACTAATAAAAATGCATAAATTTTTGATCAACCCGGCAAACAAAACGACACAAGAAAATTTAAAATGAAGTATACGGCTTGAAGCACTAATCAAAAATGTCGGGGAGGAAATTTTACATATAATCCTATGCTTTGACTCTAACCTTAACCTTTACCCTAACGCCAAAATTAACCTTTAATATTCTCAACCAATCAGAACTTGAGGGTGGAATTAGCAAATTCAAGTGTTAAAAACAATAATTTAGATTTTCAGTAAAACTATCGGTACATCATAATTATTACACATCATCTATAATCGACTGCATACATATATACACCTAATTTTAATTCGATTTGGATTTGTGGTATGCAACAAGACTAACGCTAATATATGGTACATCTAACGCTATATATACAATGGATATTAATTATAATACCGATACACAAAATGAATTCATTATTAGCATTCAACTATTTGTTACTACAGGGCTTTTTTTAATATAATCAAGTGATTCGATAAATGCTACACTTTTTCGACTGTTATATTTTTTTTACTCCACATTCTTTACCAATTTTAACCTACTTTTACATTAATTGTTAGTGTTGTTGCTAAATAATCATTGAAATTCTACACTTTTAAATTTATACCATTGATTAGTATAATATTCCTGTTATTATCATAATAAAATAACGACGAGTGCAACATAAAAAGACAAAAAAGTATTCATATCGATATAAACACAATTGATAAGTAAAAACGTGGAATAATATTTTAGAAATAGTAGTGATAATAAATGTAAATATAAATACTAATAACTACGACGACGAACGAAAGTCGTGTAGTTTTCGCTAGGGGGTTTGGCATGCAAAGCGGGAGTAGAAACAAAGAAAATATAAATATACAACAAGAGGTTTGTAGTTTTATATCATTCGATTATTCATTTATTCATTAGTTTGATCAATAAAAACATCACTCCTTAATTTGACTGCATTTATTGAATCTAATAAAATTCCAGGTAGTTCAAACCAATAAGAATACACAAATTGGTTGACCGAACACTGGGTCTTCTAGATTAACTAATAAAAATGCATAAATTTTTGATCAACCCGGCAAAGCAAACCCGACAAGAAGATTAAAAATGAAATGAAATATACGGCTTGAAGCACTAATCAAAAATGTCGGGGAGGAAATTTTACATATAATTCTATGCTTTGACTCTAACCTTAACCTTAAACCTAACGCTAAAATTAACCTTTAATATCCTCAACCAATCAGAACTTGAGGGTGGAAATTAGCCAAATTTATTGTGTTACCGATCACCCAGGCAATATCGATATTCAGTGTTAAAAACAATAATATCGAATAGGAAGTTGTCCCAATTGAATTTAGATTTTCAGTAAAACTCTATCGGTACAACTGACATCACAATTATTACACGCATAATCGTATAATCGACTGCATACATATATACACCTAATTTTAATTCGATTTGGATTTATGGTAAGCAACAAGACTAATATATGGTACATCTAACGCTATACAATGGATATTAATTACATATTTATTATAATACTGATACACAAAATGAATTCATTATTAGCATTCAACTATTTGTTACTACAGGGCTTTTTTTTTGATATAATCAGGTGATTCGATAAATGCTAACTTTTTCGGCTGATATGTTTGAATTATTCCACTTTCTTTACCAATTTTAACCTACTTTTACATTAGTTGTTAGTGTTGTTGCTATATAATCATTGAAATTCTACACTCTACACCTTTAATTTACCCCATTGATTAGTAGCAGTAGCAGCAGCAACTACAATAATATTCCTATTATTATCATAATAAAATAACGACGGGTGCAACATAAAAAGGCAAAAAGTAAAAACGTGGAATAATATTTTAGAAATAGTAGTGTTAATAAATATAAATATAAATACTAATAACTACGACGACGAACGAAAGTCGTGTAGTTTTCGCTAGGGGGTTTGGTATGCAAAGTGGGAGTAGAAACAAAGAAAATATAAATATACAACAAGAGGTTCGTAGTTTTATATTTTTCTCGCATCGTGTTCATATATTTTTTTACACATTCACATATACAATTATATTTAAAATAGGCGGGTGAAAGTTCAACCACCGCTGCTGTTACCTCGGACATTCACTTCGCAACATCTAATAATCATCAACAGAATCAAAATCGGCATCCTTATCAACGTCATCAACATCACAAGTCATCAAAGTCATCAGTGGCTCAAAGTTTAATACCACGACCAACATCAATCACATCAGTAAAAGACAGTAAAGCGAATAGTCCCACCCTATCGAGTAAAAGACCAAGTTATCTTCAAGATCAACGTAGAAATAATCGGTCTGAAACTGGATCACTGCATAAATTAAAGTCTATACACCGGCTGCAGACGGGAGAGGGAGCGGGGAGTGGTAGTGGAATACCAAGTAATGTGTCCACACGAAGATTCTCTATCAGTTTTCCGAAAGCTTTTCATCCAGCACAGAGGAAAGCTGCAAAAGCAGCGAAAAATAAAAAATATGAAGAGGCAGTTACTTGGTTAACACGTGTCTTGGAAGAATATCCTGATAGTTATTCGGCAAGGTGTGATCGAGCTTACGCATATGAAGCTACTGGACAAATTGATTGTGCAATTAATGATTTAAGTGTAGCATTCACATTAAAACCAAATAAAGCTTATGCGTGGTCAGTACGTGGGGAGGTTTATCGACGTCTAGAGAGATATGAAGAGGCATTATCAGATTTAGATAAAGCATTATCATTAGAACCGGACAATTTATTAGCATTAAAAAATCGGGGGTATATATTCTACTATCGGAATTCGTATGAGCAAGCATTAGCAGATTTAGACCGTGCTTTGCAACTAGAGCCGAATGATCCATTCATTCTAAAAATTCGTGGTGATATTTATTTATTACAAGGACATTATGATCAAGCTTTAGCTGAATTCACTCAAGTTCTATTAATGGAGCCGGATAATGTGCCAGTTCTTCAAGTGAGAGGAGATGTACTTCGAATGCTTGGCAGGTTTAATGAAGCGCTGGTTGATTTATCTCGGGTCTTGCAAAAAGAACCAGACAATATTTTTGTATTACGAATTAGAGGGGATGTGTATCATATATTAAATCGATATGATGATGCATTGGCGGATTTAAATACTGCATTGGAAATTGAACCTGATAATGTGTCTGCGTTACAATATCGTGGTGCTGTGTATATGACAGTTAGAAGATATGATGAAGCATTAGCAGATTTTAATAGACTGCTTCAAATTGATCCCAATAATGCATTCGCGCTAGAGAATCGCGGTGACATTTTTATAATGTTGCATAAATACGTGGAAGCAATTCAAGATTTCGATACAGCATTAGAATTGGAACCGGATCGAGTTTGTACACTTCAATATCGTGGTGCAATCTATTATCAACTTGGTCGTTATGACGAAGCATTGGTTGATCTAGATAGATCGTTAGATCTAAAACCGACAAATTCATTTGCACGTCGTTATCGTGGTGCAATCTATCGAATAAAACAACGATATGATGAGGCATTAGAAGACTTCAACAAGGTACTACGAATGAAACCAAATGACGCTTTCACAAGACGTAATCGTGGTGAAGTGTATCGCTTACTAAACAAATACGATGAAGCAATAATTGATTTAAATTATGCACTGGAACTCGAACCGGACAATGTATCAGCACTAAAAAACAGAGGTGACATTAATCGAATGCGTAAAAGGTATGATGAAGCATTGGACGATTATAACAAGTGTCTGGAACTCGAACCAGAAAATCTGTCAATCTTGGAAATTCGTGGAGAGATATCACGTGAATTGGGAAAAGATGAAGAAGCATTATTAGATTTGGGTAAAGTTTTAGAAATTGAACCGAACAACATTTCAGTTTTGGTATGTCGAGGTGAGGTTTTCGCTTTACTCCATCGATATGATGAGGCACTTTTGGATTTAAGTAGAGCAATTATTTTGGCACCTGATCATTTTTCAGCATTAAAAAGACGCGGTGACATTTATAGGACACTTGAGCGTTATGATGATGCATTGCAAGATTTAAATCATGCATTGCAATGCTATCCGGATGATGTATTCGCATTGCGAATACGAGGGGACATTTATCGATCCTTAGAACAATATGATAAAGCATTAGTTGATCTAGATTACGCTCTTCATTTAGAACCAAATGATTCTTTTGCACGAAGAACACGAGGCGATGTGAATCGGATGCTACGGCGATACAATGAAGCACTAGTAGATTTAGATTATGCGATAGATCTGGAATCGAAAAATGCATTTGCACGGAGAGCACGGGCCAATGTTCATAATATGTTACGACAATATCAAGCAGCATTGACCGATATCGATATCGCATTGGAACTCGAACCTAATGATGCGTTCGCGAGAAGAGTTAGAGGTCACGCGTATGTCAAACTACGGCGATACAAAGAAGCCTTGGGGGATTTTAATGTGGCATTGCGTCTTGAACCTCATAGTGCTATGTTTATGCAAGCGCGAGCAGATGTATATTGTATGTTGAATCGATACCATGAGGCACTATTCGATATTAATATTGCATTACAAATCAAACCTGAAAGCATAACGATATTGATTGCCCGTGGAGAAATTTATTTGGCATTAGGACGATACAGCGATTCACTAGAAGATCTGAATAACGCCCTAAGCCGCCAACCAAATAATACTTATGCTCTGCGAATCCGTGGAAATGTATATCACGCACTAAAACGGTATCATCACGCACTAAAGAATTTCGACAAGGTGATAAAACTCGAGCCGAATAATGTGTACGCGTTAGCTGATCGTGGTGATGTCAATCGAATGCTTGAACGATATGATCAAGCAATGGAAGATTTTGACAACGCTATAAGACTCGACCCAGAAAATTCATTTGCGCTTAAAAATCGCGGCGACGTCTACCGAATGCAACGACAGCCAGAACATGCACTTTTGGACCTAAATCGTGCTTTACGCCTTGAACCTAATGACCCGTTTGCATTACGTGTCCGTGGTCGTGTCTATTTCCGGCTAAAACAGTACGACAAGTCATGGATTGATTTAAATCAAGCAGTGCAACTTGACCCAAATAATACCATCGGATTATATTGGCGGGGTGCATTATGTCGTAAACTTCGTCGGTATAATGCAGCGTTAAAAGATATAGACAGGGCTATTGAATTGAATCCGGAAAATGAGGCATTGTTGGCCGAACGCGCAAAATTAGAACCACATATCCAGCAACAATCACAATCACAATCACAACCACAACCACAACCACAATCAAATCTACCATCAACTACTTCATGACATTTTTTCGAATAGAGAATATTTATTTGTTTATTTGTATTTGACGACGACAATTAGTTATATGTCAAAAAAGGGTTAGGGATTTTGGGACTTTATGAACAATTTGCGGAATTTTCTGTTAATAGTCATTCATTTATTCATTTGTTCACTTTTTACATACATCATTAGTTAATATATACAAAAAGAAAGAGAACAATTGACTGATTTATCGGGCAATTTTTTATTATTTTGAAAAACGAATTTGTTTTTTTAATTATAAAATTACTTAATATAATGTTGCAAACTACAATTACTATTATGCAAAGTAAAACTTACATATTTTTTTTGTTTTCTTCTTTTTTCTTTAAACATTATTGTTATTGATTTTCTCTACAAAAATTTGTAAACTTTAAAATTTCTTAGTTTTTTTTTATTTTTTTTTTTGTTGGTTGTTTCGATTTGTTGGTGGGATTATGGTGATGAATGATGGTGTGTATAATTAGGGTTCGTTGTATGATATATTAATATGATATACTAATCTAATAACAATAATAGCATTAATAGTGTAAGATTATCAATCAATCAATAAATCAAATCAAATCAATCGGTTAATTTATTCGCTTTGAAACATGGATTTTAGATATATAATGAAGGGTTTTAATAAATAGCGCTATATATGGCAGGACCCAATAATTAGTAGTAGTACTTTCTATGCGTAAAACTCCGATCGGTTCGGGTGAATCCGAAACTTAAACCGAATCCGAAAGTTCGGGTCGGTTTAGTGTTTCGGGCGAAACTATTTTTCAAATCCGAAACGTTTCACCCAGAGAAATTTCAGTTTCGTCCTATAAATCCGGAACTATCCGAAACCCTAATTTGGAAGATCAAATTGGGCGAAACTAGGTCTGATTGAGAATTTTTAATGTGGGTCAAATTCGGGTTTACCTCCAACCCGAAGTTTTCGGTTCGTATTATTTTCGGATTGATCCGAAAGTGATATACCAAATTATAGCCGCTACAATTTTGAAAGCATTTTCTATTGTAAATTAAAACTTTAATTGACACACTAAAATGAAAAATGATAAATATAATTAAGAGAGATATCGGATGGTTAGTATCGGGATCGATAATCACATGACCGGAAAAACGATTTTACGCCCTGTCAATCGTTCCGAAAAAGCAGTTTTTCCAAAAACTAATTAGGTGATCAAGCTTAGCTAAGTATTTGCTTCAGTTTCAGATACACATCATTTCACGTAATTAAAAATCGTTATTAGGGACAGTGCAGAATCATGTGATCTTTCCGGACCAGTGCCGCGGGAAGTCTACGGATAGTGTTGAATTACGTGGCCTTTGAACACAAGAAAATAAAAAATGTGGAAAACAGATGTCAAAATTTAGCTTGTAGTACTAATAAAAAATGTCGGAAAAGCAATTAATTTTATATATAACCTTCTAACCCTAAAACGATAAATAAAGTACCCTAGTCATGGCGAAAAAAAGTTATGGGTCACATGTCAGCCAATAAGAATGCGTGAATTTTTGATCTACTAGTGACACAAACCAATAAAAATGCATAAATTTTTGATCAGCCCGGCA